CCACTCTGACCTGGAAGGTGGAGTGGAAAGATGCTGATTTAGTCACCGGAATACGAAGGAGAAGTTTTACATGCTCTGTTTAGAACAGAACATTATTTACATTACAGCAATACTAGGAATTCCCAGCAAGGATCAGGGCCCCATTGTGCTAAGTACCATGCAATGCAAGCCTCAGTTACCTACTTAAGTCTCTAGTTTCATGGAGCTAGGTCAGTTTTGTGTTAGTGTTAAGCACAGAGTGGGTGTTCAATTTAAAGCTTTATGACAATAGTAAACCATAGATATATACAATTACATACCAAAGACAAAGTTGTCAGGTCTGAAGATCTGACCAAATGGTCCAGATCTGACAGAGTCCATTGTGCCAGGCTCCAAGTCAACAAGGATTGCACGGGGTACATACTTATTACCTGTGGGAGGAACAAAAGCCAGATTACAGACTTGCAGTCAGCTATTTAACAAGTGGGCTATTGTGCTCAGAGCAGCCTCATCACAATTCACTGAAGACAGACTGCTGCTGCCCAGACAAGTGAAGAAATGGTATTTTAAAAGAACAGCCTTGAGTGAAGTTATGACTTGAATTTGAAGTAGGTGTTAAAGCTTTGCCAAGGATTTAATAGCAATTCAGAGGGAGCATTTTACCAAGTGTAAAATGCACTGAAGTTAATTACATATACCTCTGATGCACGTATGTGCTTTAGAACGTTTAGTTTTGATTTCAGGAGGACACCGAGCCAAAATCAAAATAGTTACCAGAGGCTTCATTGTAGTAAACGTTGATCCTTTCTAGCTGCAAATCACTATCACCATGGTAGCTGCCAGTGGGGTCGATGCCATGCTCATCACTGATGACCTCCCAAAACTGAAATGCGGTTTTGAAAAGGGCAGTTAATAATTGTATTAAGCTGTCAGCAGTGTGACCTTCCCCTCCTCCACATACTGTCAACAGGCCTTTGAATGCTCTACAGCAGCATTTCTCAAACTGGGGTCCTTGAAGGGACTCCAGAGGGTCCACAGGCCCCGCTGAGAAACTCCTCCTCCCTGGCACACTTTCAGGCTCACCTGTCCTGGCTCCCCCCTGTTTCTTGAATCGGTAGACACATTCCTGCAGCCCCTGGGGTGGAGGGCCAGGGGGTCTCCACGTGCTGCCCCCTCCTCGGGCACCAACTCCACGGCTCCCATTGGCCAGGAGCTGCAGACAATAGGAGCTGTGGGGGTGGTGCTTGCAGGCAGGGGCAGCGCACGGAGACCATCCTCCCCACACTAGAGGGATGTGCTGGTCGCTTTTGGGAGCTGCCTGAGGTAAGCCCATCACCCCCTCCCACACCCAAACTCTCTCCTAGAACCTGCACCCTCTCCCACACCGCAACCCCCTGCCCAAGCCCAGAGTCTGCACCACTCACCCCCTCCTGCACCCAAGCTCCCCCCCAGAGCCCACACCCCTCACCCACACCCCAACCCCCTGCCCCAGCCTGGTGAAAGTGAGTGAGAGTGGGGGAAAGCGAGAAATGGGGGGAAGGATAGAGTGAGGGGGGGGCAGGGCCTCAGATAAGGGGTGGGGAAGGGGACCAGGCAAGGGCTGAGCAGGGAGGCTTGGGGGTCCCTGAAAAATTTTAAATCAAAATGAGGGTCCTCAGGTTGCTCAAGTTTGAGAACCCCTGCTCTACAGCCCTTCCCCCCTTCCTGTAGAGTGGCCAGTGGAGTAACCTAGCCAATAACGGCAGCAGGATGACTGACACTGCAGACAAGGCGTTTCCCCGTCAGAAGGTGCAGAGCTACAATTAGAGCGCTTCAGTGATGGGGAAGAACAGCAGCAACGTGGCAATTGATTTTTTAAGAGTCATCAGCAAGTGCGAGTGCCATTTATTCAGACTCAGCCAGACTAAGGGCAGAACCCCGGGGCTGCGGGCTTGGGCGGGGCAGAACACAGCTGCGGGATGTCAAGGGCAGATGGGGCTGGTGGTCTGCAATGCCCTCGCTATGCGGACTGTCCGACTGCTTTGACACTGACAAGGAGGGCGTGGCCAGCATTCGGGGGATCTGATTCATCCCGGAGAAGGCGCAGCCCCTTGTGCAAAGGGCGAGGCGGCTGGAGCCTGCAGGGAGGCACCCGATGCTGGGCTTGCGGCTGCGCCAGCGAGAGGGATTGTGATTCAGAGCACGACAGCCAGGCTCTGTGAAGAGAGGACTCTCCCCCCCGCCCCCAGTCCGCCCGCACACTGCCGGGATCGCCTCTGTTCTTTGTGGCTCTCATTAAGCGAGCGAGCAGAATACCCAGGTCAGCCCTAAAGCGTCACATAGTTTGGACACCAACCAACCACTAAAGCAGCCGCCTTTCGGAAGGAGGCTCCGCTTTCTGGGGACGCTGCCAGTGACAGTCAATAGCCTGACATAATACAGCGCAGGCACTAAGACTAGCGGAGCATTAATTCACGCCAGCCCCCGCGTGCGCACACCACTGAGCTGCCCCCTCCCAGCCACAGGGCGAGGGACACAACAAGCGGGGGCCCCGCCCTTTACCTTGGCTCCGATCTGGTTCCCGCACTGGCCAGCCTGGATGT